ACGGTCGCTTAGGCATATATATATATATATATATATATATATATATATATATATATATTTAAATTTAATTATGAAAAAATCTGTATGTAAGCAGTATAAACATAATTGGAGGAGTTATCACTTAAGAGAACAAGAAAACTCTCAAGGGTACCTTAGAATCTCTGACCAATAACTAAAAGGCTGAGTAAAATCCTATCATTGAAGCAGAAGCTCAAAGAAATCCGCAAACCAAAACCTTGATAATCTGGAGATGGCTTTCTGAAAGCATGTCTTCTGAAAAGCAGTCTGCAAGTCACTTTCTATGATCTCAGATGGCCAGTTCTTTACCTAAATCCATCATTCCAAATTAGTGAAATGTTGGTGTATGAGCAATGTTAACAAAATATTGCAGGATGTCATTTTGTTTTACTAAAGGCAACTAAAATGTTTGACATTTTAGTGTAAGTTTTTGTTTCAGATTTTGTAGAGGAAATTTTTAAAAAAAGAATCGACCTATATCCCTGCCCCCTGCATAATGTCCTGTGATAGTGGCACGCAGGGACGCTCCTACTGTCTGAGCCTCAGGGGCCTCATCTGTAAAATGGGGATAATTGTGACCTACCTCATAGGCTTGATGTGATAATTAGTGATTTGCATGAAGCAGGAGATGAGTAAGCACTCAGACTCTACCCTTCCCTTTCTGAACATACTCCTTTGCTGCCCTTGACTATTTGTTGTAGCCTAAGAACAAAACTTAGTTCAGTGGTGACTGAAGCCAAACTTTAGGTCTTCTGTCCAGTAAAAGTGGGCTGCAGAGCTTGCCTTATTCTTTCAGCCAACATTTTTGGAAACCTCCTATTTATAAGAAACAGTACAAAATAGCTTAGAGCAAAGTCCAATAGTCATCTTTTAGGCATAATTTCAAAAGCTCTTTGTCTGCCTAAGTGCTGGAATGTACACATCACCCAGGGCTTTGAATTAAGGCATTGAAAACCACAATTTTTAAATATATATATATTGTTATAAGGTTAGGATTGCTAACATCACACCCAGTAAGCATAACCTGTTTCTTTCTTTTTATGTTCACTAGGATACATTTGTTTATGGCTTTAAAAATTGTATATAATATGTTACACAAAATTATATTTAGGAAGAGACTTTCAGCAATTGTTTCCATTTTTCTTTTTCAGATTTAGTTGGTTCATTGGAGACTCCAAGATGTGCCCTGCTATGGTGTCTGCTTAGTAACTTTTGAGGGATTAGCCTCTGCCGTGCCCTTTGCTCATGGGTTAACAGCCTGGGATTGGCTCACTCAATAAGTGAGATAGCTCACCCTTTGCCCTTTTTTTATGACATGGAATTCTGAAAAACGAAGAGCTGGTGAGGCTGCATTTTCCAGCTTTGGCCGGGGCTAGCAACCTTTGCATCTTAGGTCTGTCCTCTTAGCATCTAACATTATTTTCTTCTCGCCATTTCCCCGTTGCCGATCATAAATGGTTAACCGGAGCTCTGCTGGGCAATCCCCCTGCAGCCCCCAGTCCATGAAGCCTGCTGTGCCCCTTCCCTCCCTGGCTCCTTCCTCTAGTCCGGCCCCACAGGCTCCCCTGGCCTCTCTTGGCTTTCTTGTTGTTCGCTCTGCGCCTTTGTGACAGCCTAGGGCCTTTTCTTTTCCTCTTCCTTCCTTTCTCCTGGGATAGCTCTATACGCTCTTGGACCCAGTTGAAACAACACAAAGTAAAAATAAATGAAAACAAGAAACCAGTTCTGTGCCGAGCCAGCAGAGCATGTCCATGGGCCAAAGTGGAGCTTTTGGTGTTGCCCTCTGCGTCCCTAGGACCTTGAGAGGCAGCAGCAAGGATTTCCATGTGCAACGAAAAACCCACCCTAAGCCCCAGAGGCAACACTGTGATAACACGGACTGTGAAAGTGGCTCTCATTGCCCTCGGTTTTCCCCTCCGCCAGTGTTCTTAGAAACGGGGAAGTCAACAGAAGCGTCTGCTTCTACATGTTTGGCAGTCGTAGAGCTTATTAAGTAATTTTGAAATTCTTACAATTTTGTTCACATTTCAAAATAAAGTTCATCTGCAGGAGTCCTTGAATCACTTTTTGGGTGCTCAGAGAGATCGAATGCCAGGGCGTGAAATGTCGCTGAGGTAGTTGCAGGAAATTAGCCATCTTCTCTTGTCAGCAGTAGTTGTGTGTTTTAGCTGTTTGACTCACTGCAGCAGTGGGCAGCCTGCTTTCTTGTGAACTGTCGTCAGTTACCTTCCCCAGCACATGTTTTCAAACAAGGCAGGTGCCTCCTGCCTGACTGCCTGCATCCTAGTCACTTTGTGGCCCAGACATCTTCCCACAGCCCGTGGTCTCCTGCACACATCACACTTCAGCAAAGCATCACCTGGGACTAACTCACAACTGTTTTCATATATATTTCAGAAGCTTGTGTCCTTTTCTCTCTTACTCTGGGTTTTATGCAAGTATAACTGAATTTGGACAAAAGATGCTCTGAGAGAGAGAACCCTGTTTTAAAGGATTCAGGGTAGCGCGTTTGAGAGCGATGAGTGCATCTGTGAAAGTCACCTTGTACTTATTCATGTTGTAGGTCCAGACTTGTCCCCAGTGGGTTTGCACAGAAGGATTTGGTTAACAAATGCGTTTTCTCTGGGAAGGGCACTTTCCAAAGTGCTACACAAAGTGCCTGGGTTTAGACACATTGCAGTTATTAAACAAATAGTGTATCATTTTGTACTATATTAGTGTACACAATAGGTACACAATGTTATATGTCAATTACATCTCAATAAAGCTGGGGGAGAAACTGTGTTTTCTTTGCAGTAACTATAATAATAAGAAATGGATACATTTCAAGATGGGCTGTTGTGCGTACATATTATAAATGAGTTGAAAAGTGATTAGAATCTATCTGTGAATTCTTTTTAAAATAATCAGTGTAGAAATATCAACTCTAGGAAGGGAATGAGAATGGCTAGTGTGTGCCTACTATGTGCCATGTCCTGGAGAAAATATTTTAATATCAAATGCAGCTTTGAAATGGCTGGCCGTAAGGATTCCATGACATAAGGTGTGCAGAGCATCTAGCGCCACACTGATGTAATAGCAGACTAATAAATATTAGCTGTTTATTTTATTCCATTCAATCCTTTGATGTAGTCAGTATCCCCATTGTACAGATTAGGAAGACTGAGTCTGGAGTGATCTAAGTAACTTGGACCAAATTTTCAAAATTAGGTTGCAGAGGCAGAATTTAGAACCAGGGTTCTGCTGGACACGCTGATAAAAACCTCTAACCAGGGGTTATTCTTCTAGGCTGCCAGGATGATCTGTGCTAGGGATTTTTTTATGATGGGAAAAACCATCCCAGCTAGAATACAGTAACACCCACTACTGAGAGGCAAAGTTTTCTTTATGGGCAGCAAATTCACATATAATGTATAAGTAAACATTCAGAAAAACATTCAAAGGGCCCATCTCAGCAGTCAACCATTCTTAGAGTCTTTTTTCACTTTCAATAGCAAAGTCTTAGCTCTATGGATAGGTCTATGCTTTTCAAAATCTGTGCATGGTTTATGAAACATGCCCAATACATCAGTCCTGTCCATACCTCTGCTGTGTAAATGTCATCGTCTATGCAAATATCAACTTGTAATGCCAGCTTAAGGAAGTTGTAAGGATGATAGTCCTGTAGCACCTGGAAGGCAAGCTTCCAGGATTTTGGGGGGTTGGGTAGGGTGGGATGGGGGAGTAACTTTTTAACTAGCTGCTATAGTTTTCATCTCTTCTCATGTTGGGAGCACCAAGTGATGCTGGCGACCTCAGTCCCTGGGATACAACCATTGGGCGTGGATGTCAGTGTTGTTCCAATAGCCCCTCTAGATGTGGGCACCAATTAAGGACACCCTTGTTTTCATCTTCAAGGTGCATGGCTTGGTGGCTTAGTGACCAAGTATGGCTGCTGTAGGACAATGATGGCCGTTTTAGTAGTGAAGAAGTTCAGTGGTGTTGGCATTGGAACTGGAAAGGCATTTTACTAATGCAGGATTCCACTTCCCTGTGTTGAAATTCTGGGCAAATCAGTTACCTGCAGCCCAAGCTATAGCTACATGTAGGATTTAGCTCTTGTAATAGACTGACTCTCTTTTTCCTTTTAGAGGTGTGTATATAAGAGAGAATGGAATTAAACTTCAGTTTCACAAATGAATGTGAGCTTAGTATAAAGATAGCAGAGAACAAGGAGAATTGGGGCTGGTTATCACATCATTTTCATTGCAGTTTACTTCCTAGCACTTAACCTAGTCCAAATATTTTCTTCACAACATCGCTACCTTCGGAATTACTCAGATGCTTAGCTGTATTCTGCCGTCTAAATTTATATCTGCAAGAAGGCCCAGGGTGTGCGCATCAAATTCCATGCAAATGGAAAGAACCCGCTTAGGATGCTGTACAGGATGGGACGGTTCCAGAAGCTTTCCGGCCCCGAATTTAAAGCACTCTGGGTCTTCCTCTCCAGGGTTCCGCGGATTCCTACACGAGCAGGCCCTCGGACTCCGATGTCTCCTTGGAAGAGGACAGGGAAGCGATCCGGCAGGAGAGAGAGCAGCAGGCGGCCATCCAGCTGGAGAGAGCAAAGGTGACTCCTGCCCCTCTTTGGCTCTAGAGCGGAATGTTGATCAGCTGCTCTTCCCCTGCCTCGGATTTCTCTGAAAACATCATTTTATGATCATCCTGATAAGGCCCCAGGTTGCAAGGCTTTCTGATCCATTCACCCCTAAATGCGGTTTCGAAACATTCCCGGGGGAGCACTTGCCCGAGACACTGACACTTCACCCTTTTGTGTTTGGTTTGGAGGTGAAGGGTTTGGTCATCTTCCAACTTAGCAGTCGTAGCCAATACCAAGCTCACCACACCCAGTATTGGCAGAGCCGCCTAAGGTTCCAGCTTCACCACCTGTTCCCTGACAGTGGCCTTCGTTTCAGGCCACACTTGTTCTGTGGGTCTCCCTGTTGATCTCCCCTCTTGGTTTCAGTCTCCCACCTCAAGTTCAGCATGAAGTTCAGAACTTGGAACAAGTATTAGCATTGCAGCCAAGACGAGCAACAAAGGCATTGCAAAATAGACCTTCAGATCCCACTGCCCCAGGAATCTGCACCCACAGGAGGCAACAAGTTGCACGTGTAAATGTCAGGATGGGAAGAGTCACATAAGTGTGTTAAAAGAGCTGAGAGAGAATGGTGCCGGCAATGAGGCAGCCTCCTCTGCTCCCACACCTGCGACGTCTGTGCCGGTCGGCAGAGGGGCTTTGGGCCAGTGCCTGTTAAGGGACATCAGTGGGACCCTCACTCAGGTCCTGTCTCCAGCACTGCTCCCCAGCCATGTTCACAGCTTGAATGCACGAGCCGGGGTTGCAGGAACCTTGTGTTCTCATTTGTGGCTAATTTGTGTTTTAGTTTTCTCTCAGAGTCTGTTTTGTGGCCATTGTGGTCACCCAAACGTTGGGGCAGTGGTGTTAGCATATCTGGGGGTTTGTGTAACCTCTGCCAGGTGGCACCAGCCCAAGGGCACTTGGTCCAAAGGCGTTTCGGAACCAGCTTTTGGTAGCTGGGGAGAAGGCGATGAGTGAGCAGCTCTGACTTCCTGTCCACGTCCGTGGGCCTTCCTCTTCCCTGGCAGGATAAGGTATTCTACTGAGTGGGTCCCACAGGCTTTCAGTCTGAGCTGCTCACTCACCCCCCCGCCCCCCCCCACAACCTTTTTATTTAAGACCCAGCACCCGTTTCCTGTATCCAAAGGGGGGGGTGACTAGGGGACAAAGCAGACAGCCCCTCCCACTTCCATTCCTTTTCAATGGTTAAGGGCACATTGTCCGGGATGTTGGAAAGTGCCAGCGCAGGGGGAGGGAGGGTGGGCTGGTAGGACCGAGTCAGTGGCACTGAATCCACAGTTTTCAGTGCCACGTCTGCAGGTGTCTCCATGCTGCCTGACCCAGGGAAACCCAGTGGAGACCCCCCTTTGCAAAGTGATTTCTCCTGCTGCCTGGTCTTATCAATTGTCTTGTTATAATACTACTTTTCAATGTGAAAATTCCTCCTCTGTCTTCCTCCCTCCATCCCCACTCCATGGCTCTGGGCCCAGTCCAAGCCTGTAGCCTTTGCTGTGAAGACGAACGTGAGCTACTGTGGCGCCCTGGACGAGGATGTGCCTGTCCCAAGCACGGCCATCTCCTTCGATGCCAAGGACTTTCTGCACATTAAAGAGGTAAATGGAGGGCTCTCTGCGTCCCCTAACCTGCCACGAGGCCAGGGCCTGAGCTTTGGCTCACGGTCATCACGAGGTGGATTTAGGACACACCTGGGGTCCTCTGGTCACCTTTTAGTCACCGTGCATGACCACGGAGCCGTAGATTCGGATCCGACTTAGGGAAGCATGAGTTCGGCTGGCAGGGCGCCTACCTGAAGGGACTATTTACACGGGATGTGGTCAGTATAAACATCTGGGCTATAACCCTGAGGCCTTGGACCTTGGAACCAACACTAACGAGTGTAATCATGAAGGTGTTAAAGCTAAGACCGGGGGCAGAGGTCTTTGGGAAACAGAAAGCTTAAGGGATTGAGCAGGACAAGGAGGGCTTGGAGCCTCTCAACTGGAAAGGTGAACTAGTGACACCGCACACTTTTATTTACTCAACCTGGGTACCCTGAATCCTACTTCACGTCAGACATGGTACTGGGCGTTGGGGGGACCAGAGGTGGAGGCTCCCGTTCCCCGCTGCCAGGGAGGTCCGAGCTGGTTGAAGAGACTGACAAGTACACAGTTTTCACACGGGGTGACAGGTTCGATGGCAGCACAATTGAATGGGTGTGGTGGGAACCCAGATAAAGAGCTTGGTGGGGGGCGGGGGGGGGGGACCACCACGCTGGGGAGTAGAAGGATCAGGGGCCAGAATGCTCGACAGAAGTGGTGAAGCCTGAGGGAGCCAGGCTGGGGTGGGGGTGTATCCGGTGGAAGGGACAGCCGGGAGCAATGCCGATGATGGCTGGAAGGCAGTAAGCAGGGAGTGGTACTGGGGACGGGCCAGCGCAGAGAGGCTGGAGCCTGACTTGTTTTTTTTTTTTTTAAAAAAAGGTCCATGTGGGCCTGGCAAGAAGCCTGGACTTTATCACCAGGCAGTGGGCTGGAGAGGAATTTTAAATAAAGGCCGGATGTGACCAGCCTGTGTCTTAACATAACTTAGATGGCAAGAGGGTATTGCAGAGGCGGGGGAGACACCGTGGGGCCGGACACTGGCTGTGGCAGACAGGATGGAGAGAGGCAGCAGCTTGGAGAGAGAGTGAAGGGGCAAACAGGATTGGGAGATTTCCCATGGGCAGGGCATATTGGAGAAGGTGACATAAAAGAGAAATGAAGGGTGGAGGCTAGTTTTTCCAGCTCACCTGGAAAAGCAAGGGTCAGCTATCAAAATAAGGAAGGCAGAGAGGAGAGAAGACTTGTTATAGAGGTGGATGTGGTTAGAAGTTTGCTTTCAGATACACTAGGTCAGGGGTGCTGTGAAATTCCCATGAAGATACTTAGTAAAACTTTATCCATATAATCTGGATGCCAGAAAAGCGGAATTGCAATTTTCTCTTCCCAAATGCTAGCCGTTGGGAAGGAGACTGGGCTCCAGTCAGGAGAAGATAAAGAGCTGAGGCGTTGTTTTTAAATTTAGCTTTGCTTTTTCTTTTTTTGTTTTTAAGATGGGAAAGATTTAAGCATATTTTCCATGCTGAGATGTTGAACCCAGTGAACTATATTGGAAGGAAAAGGCAGAGCTGAAGGAGGGAGGGGCTGGAGTCCAGGGGAGAAGACAGCATCTGGAAAATGGGCACAAGAATTAGGCTGAGTCAGGAGGGAAGCCTTGCCTTCCTTCTCTGTTCTGCACAGAATTTTCTGATGTGGCCGGGGGCCTACTTGATAGTCTCCATGGGCTCCACTAGAGGAAGCATTGGAAATTAGACCTTAGAAAAAGGAGAGCATAGAGGTGGGACAATAAGATGAAACCTGAGAATGGAGGAGCCTGAAGAATGTGATCAACATAAACATGTCACTCAATGTCACTGAGGTGCTTGCATGGTAAATATATAACAACTTTGAAAATCATTGTCTTTGAAACTCTGCATTCTACCATGGCATTAGTGATACCGGGACGTATGTAAATAGTTTTAATGTTTTTACTATTTAATACTAAGTGGGTCAAACATCTGGATATCTACAGATGTCTCACTCTCCTTGCATTATACCCATGTGACCTACATTTGTATAGTCACTCATTTGAGATATCGTTCTATAGCAGGGGTCCTCCCTGCAGATATCCAACAGCTATAACTGAAGTAGATCCTTTTCTCATAGACTTAACCCTTTGAGTGCCAACCAATATCCTAGAACAAATTCCTATGCACACTGCACATATCTTATTTTGAAGTAAAAAAACAAAACAGGAACAAATACAATATTTGTATTTGTCAATTTTAGAACTACAAATATTCGGCATCATAAGTAATCTGCACGTAAGTGCCATCTGTCAATAAAGAGTGAACTACTAGCATCTAATAGTGACACTGCAGGAGGAAAGCGATAGAGCTCCTGGCACCTTTGGGGAAGGACAGGTGGAGCGCGATTGAGCTTCCCGGCACTCTAGAGGTTAAATTCTACTGAGGACACAGATAATGAACGTATTAATAATTGCACATCGTGAATTCTTTGGGGGGGGGGGGGGGAATGAACCAAATGCTGAAATTTTTTAAATATAAGGATGAGGGGTTTATATACTTCCAAATATAGGGGTGATCAGAGAAAGCCTTTGTGAGAATGTGACCTTTAAACAGAGACCTGAAGGATGAGGAGAAGCCAGCCTTAGAGCAAGGGGGAACCTTCGAGGACAAGGAATCTGCATGTGCAAAGGACCTGGGGTAGGAAAATAGCCTGGAACAATCAGTTTACTGGGAGAAAGTCATACGGCTGGAATGCAGTGAGCCAGGGGGCCTCGTTGCAGGAGACAGTGTTGTAAAAGTCAAGTAGGGCACAAGTCAGGTAGGACCATTCATTGATGGTGAGACTTCAGATTTTATTCTGAATGTAATGAGAAGTGAGATGAATTTATTTTTTAAAGGTTCTCTGATTGTGGTAGAGACAATGGATGGGAGTGGGATAAGTATGGAATCAGGCAGACCATTAGCATCATTCTAGGTGCGAGACCATGGGTTCGAGCCAGCATGGTGACAGTGAGCTAGAGAGAAGTAGACGGATTTGAGATATATTATAGAAATTCAGTGAAGAGCACAGGTGATGGACTCAGAGTAAGAACTGAAATTGAGCAACTGGGATGGATATTCTTTGGGTGGGGAGAGGACAGATGGGGAGAGCGGTTGGGGAGTGGACACTTCAAAGAAGACACCAAGTAGGAAGTTAGCTATAAGAATCTGGAGCTCAGAGGAAAGGGTTGGGCCAAAGATAATAAATTTGGATCATTTGTTTATGCATGGCATTTAAAGCTGTGATAATGAAGGAAGTCACCTACTAAAAAAAAAGAAAAAAAGAGTAGAGGGAGGAGAGAAGGTAGTGCTGCATCAAACCCAAAGGAATCCCATCCTGCAGAGATGGTGAACATGACAAGATTCAACAAATTAAAACTAAAAAGGAAACTGAAAAGGAGAAATCTGAGATAGAGGAGGAAAACCAGGGCAGAGTGATATGTGGACATCAAGAGGGGAGTGTGTCGTCAAGGAGGAGGCAGTCAGCTGTGGCAAATGTGACATGTCACCCAAGGTGAGGAGTGAGGAATGGACATTGGATTGGCAGCGTGGTGCTCAGCAGCAAGGAAGTCATTGGGACCACTGTCTGGAATTGAAGAGATGGAAGCCAAATGAAATGGGATGAGGAGAGAAGGGGAGTATATTTCAAGTGTAGACAATGCTTTCAAGGAAGTTGACACTGAGAAGGGCATGAATTCAAAAGCAGTTTCCTTTCAAGTGCTGATATTAACAAACAGAGAGAGAGAAAGTGAGAGAGAGAAAGAGAAGAGGAAGAGGAAGAGGAGGAGGAGGAAGAGGAGGGGGAGGAGGAGGAGGAAGGAGAGGAGGAGGAGGAGAGATTAGAGGAGAGGAGAGGAGAGGAGAGAGGCAAAGGAGTAAAGTGTTTGAGTAGGCAAGAAGGGTGGGGTCCAGAACCCAAGTGCAGGGATAGACCTTTGACAGGAAGGGAACACTTCTTCACTGAACGTGCAGGAAAGAGATGAGTGGAGGCAAAGACTGCCTTGGTAATGGGAGGCGGATGAAGCATCAGCTTGATGGAGTGTGCTTTCTTGATGGTTGACATTTGCCTGGAAGACAAAGGCCCATGACCTGAAACATGTGCCCTGGTATATGAATGGTTAAGTAGATTTTGTCTCACCATTCCCATAAAAAATGCCCAACCATATTCATTAGTTGCTAACACCCCGTTTCCAAGGAAAAGCAGAACTTTCAAAGGTAAGAGTTCTCCCCTATTCCATCCTCACGCACACTCGTGCACACCAACATGCCCACCTTGCTGCATTTTATTGCTTTCCCCCAACCTGTCAATATTCCCAATTTGTCCTGTCGGTTGCTTTTTGATCTATATGCTCCTTGATCAATGACCTCTTTAATCTGGCAGTTCGATGCATGGTATTGAGCTGGTAATCCCATGTGGATTAGAGCCACTTGTTTCAAACCTTGAAATATCAGATAAGGAAACATCTTAGAAAGAGAAAGCACTAATCATTTTAGGGAGATCAAGATGAGAATGATTGGAACACTGGGGTGACCTTGCCAGGAAGCTGGCACATGCTCTTGGAAGAGCAACTCTAATGAACACATTTCTAGAATGAAGTTGTAGCCTCTCCTCCCATCCATTGCCTCATAGGCCATCTATCATGCACTGTTTTAAGTACTTTTCAGTAATGAAAAAGCTTACTAGTAAATGTGGAGGAAAGCTGCAGCTCTCCTTATCACATACACCAAATGATGCGCCAATTGAACTCTTGAATGTATACAGTGACTTTCTCTCAAGTGGCTCAAAGAACATTCATTTATGTTGCCTCAGATTCTCTCTGGGCTTTGTCTGTTTCCTATAACTCAGTTAAAACATATTGGGAAGCTGCAGTAACTATTTCAGGAAGCCCTTTAAGGTCACTTGGACACCATTTAATAAATTAGTGTTCCAGTGGACTCACTTAATTTCAGGAAATAACTTAAGCCCCAGGAAACTATGACTCAGGGTCTGTTTTGTCCCCACCACAGTGAAATTTAAGTACCAGGCCTGTGCACCAAAGATGCTAAAAGGGTCCTTTTGCCTTTTGTTAATCCCAAAATAAATATACCTCTTATTCAGGCCTATTATCCCAAAATCAGATAGGAAGGTGGGAAAAACTAAAACCTAGATTGTTCAAAATTTTATATTGGTTCAACTCACGCTTCTTCAGTGCGGTGTCATACTGCATGCCATGTGCGCCTTATGTAGGAGCTGTGTGCAAAATAAAGGCTAAACCCCTCAACCACTTCTTTTTGCTTTTGAGTGTGAGGCTGTTATTCAGAATTACTCACAGTTATGCAGAACTTCGTGCTGTGATGATGCAATGAAACCACCCATTCTTCCTTCACAATGTGTCAATGTTACGTGCATATAAATTCCACATTTTTTCTGAGCTAAGCAAAGTGTACTACGTAAAGTTGTTACATTTTGGAAAAAAAGATACTTTTGGATCAAAGTTGGAGAGTTATCTTGCCCAATACTAATAAAAACAATAAAGGATGTTCTGGGAATCATCTCCGAAGGGTGTGAATAATATCTGCTCTCTAGCAAGCCCTAGTTGAAACTTTTCCTTGAGGCAGGTCGGTTAGATTAAATGTGCCTTCTACCCTAGGGTTCTGCAAATCTATCGCTATAACAGCAGTTTTGCTGACCCTTCAAATGGGTCACACTGACAGAGTCTCACCCTAGATTGACTGAAGTCTTTGCATGGGTGGTTTGAGTTTACGGTCATGGAACTTTATTTAAATAGAAATCCTGGTGTTCCTGTTGGGCTTCAGGCCATTTGGAGGGTTATTTCAAAAAAAATCCACATACACATATATAATATGTTTATTCTTTGTAGGCTTGGGCTTCTTTTTCTTCAGGTAGGAAGGTGGACCTTAATTTGCAAACCTATGTTTGGAAGTGTGGGGGAAGAAAAACTGTACTTCTGCCCTTCTAAATTCTTCTGGCTAGTCTAATAACCAAGTGAACATGAGACAGAGTACCAGGAGAGACAACCAAATTTACTATGTATGCACCTACAGGAGTTTCCCAAGAACAGACTGGGCAGTTATGATGTATATGTCATTCTGGAGCTAAGGAGAAAGTGTGTGTGTGTGTGTGTGTGTGTGTGTGTGTGTGTGTGTGTGTGTGTGGTTTGGCACTGCAAAGGGCAGGAAGACAATTCACAAGGAGACGAAAAAACGTCTTATGGTTCATATTAAACTATAGTTATCTAAAAATAAAAATATAAACTATAGTTATCTATGATGATATCGCCCTTCCTGGAGCGGGTCCTCTAAGTTCTTTTAGGCAGTTAGGGAGAAGGTCAATGGTTTTTTCCTGAGTCTTTCATTTCTTGAAAATAATCAGCTTAAAGTAATATTTGGGGTGGCAGATTTTGGGGTTGTAAACTCTGCTTCCCCTCAGAAGATTATAACTCTTCCTCAATGAGAGCAGATTACAGAGAGTTTCATGGATTTTTACCTAAAAGCTTTTGACAAATAGCAGACTATTAAATGTTTTCATTTTAGACTTGCCTATCTTACCTTCCAGAATTTCAATTACATCGGTGCATGTTTAGTCTCATACAATCTGTTCCCTAAGAATTGGCTAAGGCTTTTTGATAGGGACCAAAGGAATCCAAAGGTTAGGACCTGACTGCAGGCCAGGGATTTGCAAACTGTTGCCCGTCTGCCTTTTTTTTTTTGGACAGAAAAGGTTTATTGAAGCACAGCCACACTTACGTGTTTCTGCATTGTCCGTGGATGCTTTCCCATTATGACAGCAAATTCAAGTCGCTGCAACAGAGAGTATATGGACAGCATAGATAAAAAGTTGTAGACCCTGCCTTGTGTTTATCTACACTAATAAAAGACAAAGATGCTAATTGACCATACCTTCGCTACGCCCATCAGCCAATCAGAAGAGTATGCAAATTAACCCAACAAAGATGGCCGTTAAATTTGCATACTGCAGGCGGGGCGGGGCAGCACCATCTGCCACCTGCCCCGCTGCCATCCAGGCCTTCTATGGGTGACCGGAGCGGTGGGGCAGGGCAGTGCCATCCGCCACCTGCCCCACCGCGGAATTGGGCCTGCCGTGGGCGACCCTGGGTGCCCGGCGTGGCGGGGCGGGGCAGCGCCATCTGCCGCCCGCCCCACCGCGGGATCGGGCCTGCCATGGGCGACCCAGGGAGGTGGGGCAGGCACTGTGGGATAGGGCCTGCCATCTGCCACCCGGGGAGCAGGCCTAAGCCAGCAGGTGGTTATCTCCGAGGGGTCCCAGTCTGTGACAGGGCACAGGTCCGGCTGAGGGACACCCCCCTCCCCTGCCAGTGCACAAATTTTTGTGCACCGGGCCTCTAGTATATATATAATATAGTACAATATATATTATGAATGGTGGTTCGTCCTTCTGGTCCCTGAAATTAATAAGTGGGATGTGAAGATAAGTATGTTCCTATTGATAGCAGTTTTATTTCTGCATTCCAGAAGTATAACAATGACTGGTGGATAGGAAGGCTGGTGAAGGAGGGCTGTGAGATTGGCTTCATCCCAAGTCCACTCAGATTGGAGAACATCCGCATTCAGCAAGAACAAAAAAGAGGACGTTTTCACGGAGGGTAAGCCTCCTTCCTTTCTATAAACATTGGGGGTGGTGGGGGGGAGGTGTGGGAACATTAGGCGATATTTTCAAGTTTGCTTCCTGGGTTCAAACTTTGTGCTTTCAAAGTGAAAGATACTTTTCTGTGTATGAGGTGTTTCTGAAATGGACACACAGGTGTTTCAGATATTCATTCTCCCTGAAGCTGGGCACCACTGGAATCCACATGAGTTGCCGCAGCCTCAGCAAACGCTGCTTGGGATCTAAGCTGTCCTTCATCAGGGTCCCTAGGGCATGGTTCTCAGTACAGGAAGTGGGAGCTGGCCTGAGAGGGCATCCTGGCTCTTCCTGGTTCACTCTCAGAGACTGTCTCTCTAGTTGGCACAGAATGCAGTGGTCCATGTGGGTCCTGATACCAGTAGCATATTCTTCATCTAGGGCTTCTTGTGGCACCTGCCATGTCTTGGTAATAAGGGAAAGACTCTACCTAGCTTCAGATGGATCCTCCTCTAGGGAACTAATGAAGTAGCCACATATCTCAGGGTGCAGGTATTTCAAAGATCCAGGGGTACACCAGAGCTTGAGAGAAATCGGACTCATATGGAGCCTGCACAGGTGAGCCTACACGGAAGCTTTGATTGGATATGTGTTGTCATTTTTCTGTAAGTCCTAAAATAGAAGCAGTTCTTTCTCTTGACCCTCAACCTCCTTTTTCTGTTAGATCCTTTTCTATTTCAATAGCTCCTCTGTTTAGGGGTCCTGTTGCCTTTGGCATATGGTAACCTCTTAAACAGTGATAGAAATAAAAGTACAGTCAACCCCACTTTTACTTATCAATCTTGTTTAGTATTCGACACTCCTATAATATTATTAATTATTGATTCCTCTTGTTCCCCCTACTCTAAATTTTCTCTCTCTCTGGATGCTCTTTAAACACATCCATACTACGTTTCTGCCTCAGGACCTTTGTACTTGCTGCTTCCTCTTACTGGAACTCTTTCCTTCATATTCCCACCAGATCATTCCATCATCTGCTTCAGATCTTCGTTAACTATCACCTTTTCAGTGACCCCTTTCCTGCCACCATATTTAAAATTGTACCCATTTCCCATCTCCATCCTGACTTAGTTTTCTCTGTTGCATTTATTAATATGAGAAATACTATATATTTACCTATTCATCTGTTTGATACTAATATCTCCCACAGATAGAGTCTGTCTCTATATGTGAAAGGATTTTGCATTTCTCCCCCCACTGTTGCATCCCTAATTTTTAGAACAGTGGATACTCAATAAAGATATGTTGAATGAAATAATAAGTGTATTATTATCATTTCCAAAGTTGTTAGTTTACTTATTATTTTTATTACTTATCCTTTTCCATAATATCATTCTAGACTTAAATCCTTTTGAACTGAAAGCTTACTTTGCAGAAGGTGCAAGAGTCAAGCCAAGAGCTACAGATATGATCTTATTTTCTTTATACTGACCCTGGGAGGTGTAGCTCCCCCGTCAATAGATGAGGAAACTAAGACTCAGAGATGTGATATGATGTGCCAGGACAAGAAATCAGATCGCTCTGACCCTGGGGACTGTACTCTGAAGCATGGAAAAGGAGGGACAGTGGAGAAGTGGGGAGGTGGGCTCCTGAGGGCCCCCAGGGGCTGCAGGGAAGCTTCCAGAGCCAAATGAGAACAGTGCTGATGATCTTCTATCCTGGGGCACAACACTGTCAGTGCTTAATTCTGATCCCCACATAATCGCTTCTAAGAAGAAACATTTCTTCCAGCTCTTACTGCTTGCTTTGAGCTGTGTTTGACATCGGAGTGGTGCCCTGGTGAGCTTGCTAGTGAAAAGCAAGCTGCTCACAAAAACATTCTTATGCCTAATATCTGCATTGAATAACTAGAAGAGATATTTATGCAAAATATTTCCAGGTCCCAGTTAGTTCTCCATTTTCTCTGAGAAATGAGGTCAAAGAAAACATTTGGACAGACTCTTGAAGTTTGTCTCTGTACAGGATGTGGTGTGTTTTGAATTATCTAGGAGGATTAAGGCCAAAGAAAGCTTTGTGCTGTCAAGCCCTATTTTCAAAGGATCTGGGGAAGGACTCTTAAGTTCCTTTTCTATATTTTAGGAAGTCCAGTGGAAATTCTTCTTCAAGTCTTGGAGAAATGGTATCAGGGACATTTCGAGCAACACCCACATCAGCAGGTGAGGGTTTCACCTAAACTCTTTTTAATGGAATGCATTCATTGCTTAATATTTGCATATACATGCAAGAATTCTTACTGATTTGGAAACTATTTAAAAGGCTTGATTTTAAGATTTTTTTTCCTACTTAATATGTCTTTCCTACTCACATGTCTTCTATAGTAATTTGATTTTATTTAAAGGTTAGTTGTGGTACTAAAAATTTAGATATTTGTATAATTTTGAAAAATCTTATTTACCTAACATTGTGTAAACCCATCTGAAGCTAGTTCATTATTCCATTCATGAACCCAACAGACTTTAAGATGGTGAGGACCAATTCAAAAAAAAAAAAAGTTGTAGACTCTCAAGAAAACACTCTGTTTCAGCTTCCATGGGCAGCTGTGGAGATTGGGAGGGTTGGGCCCAGATGACCTCAGTTCTCACTGGACAGCAGACAGCTGAGCCCTGAAATGAATGGTAATGAAGGGAGAGTGGTGGCCCGATCAGGAGTTGTGCATTTGGAAATTGTGGGGGTATTCAAGCAGGAAGTTTCCTCCCCCCACACTTCCTGACTCCTCTGGGCTAATTTCATTCTGGCCCAGAATTGATGCTGCATTAGGGCATCCCGTGTTACCAATTCGGAATGACAAGTCCAGGCTCTCTCCTGGCCCAGACCTGCAGGGAGCGGCATCAGTTCTGGAACAGTTCTGAGTGTGTGGGTGAACCCAACTAGGTCTCTGGGTCGCCCCCACATGGACTGGACCTGCTTGGGTGGCCACAAAACCACCTTAATCAGATATTGAGTATATTTTGCCTCATCCCACTTGGGATTTAGGGCATTATTAGTTGGACATTTAGGGCATTGCAGCTTTTCACTATTACAAACAAAAAAGAATAGGAATAACTGGTTATAAACTTATTTGAATTTAGGAGCAGCCTCGTAGGAAAAATGTATCAGTATCCTGGAATGTGAACCAAAAGACTGACGAATACATAAAGGATTGCAAAATCCAAAAAGAATGAGTGACTGCGGTGATGATGATTATTTTGACCAGAATTGTTATTCTAAGTTTCTCTCTATCACATTTTATTTGCCCAAGTCGACCTCAGCCGCACTGTATGCCGCGTTCAGCAGGAAGCAGCCTGTGGCCCGATCTGGCCCAGAGCTTCCAGTGTTGTTATGAAGTCCACCCTCCCCACCCAACATGAGATCAGGATGTGAGGTCACTCACACAGGGAGGAGGTGTCTGTCTTCTCATGTCCTCAACATCGGCCCAACCTGAAGGCAGTAGTAGAACCGTGTTCTGCAGAGAGGGTGACAGTGAAATGATGAGAATTACAGGCACAAATGGGCGTGTTATTCCATCTTTTAAAGTCATGTACTATCATTTGCAGATATTACATATTTTGATATGGCTCTCATTGTTGTCTTTTAGCCAAACAGAAGCAAAAAGTGGTAAGTGAGTATTTCCTTTTTAAATCTACTGTTAAGGTTTCTCTCCGCATATGCCTGCAATGCTCCATTTCAGTGGTCCGAATGGCTATAAAATAAGGGATGAGCCTCGTCGGTGGGGGCCCGTGGTCATCAATTTTTGTTTGACCTGAGAATTATGAATATTGTGGCTGATGAGGAGCGCACTCATCCTCACCTTGTCACCCGTGTCAAATCATCTCTTTCAGACGGAGCACATTCCTCCCTACGATGTTGTGCCATCCATGCGCCCGGTGGTGTTAGTGGGGCCGTCACTGAAGGGTTATGAGGTACAAACACCAGCCTGTTCTGCTTCATTCAGTTCTAGATCAAGAATCTAGGAAACAGCGACTGAGTGCTGGCTCCTCCAGGGCCTGCTTACAGATGGGTGCCCACAGAAGCCACCTCTCAGCCTGTGACGGGGATGGGGCAGTGTGGGCCTTGGGGCGCCCCTTGCCCTTTCTCCCCGCTCCCCCAGGCACACTTCTCATCTATGATGTATCACATTGTTTAGAAATAAATATCTCCCTCAAACTATTGATAATGGCAAGTTCTGTTAAAAGGTTTACTCTGCAACACATTCAAAGAAAAGGACTTTATCTGTCTCAAACGTTCCCATTCCCATTAGATATAATAGACTATGAACAGCAGAAGGGGACATATAGGCACTTTGCCAGCCAAACCTAAACCCTCAGAGCACCAAATCTCACCCTGCTGGTGCTCAAGTCGATGGCATAGTCCACCAAATATTTCTCTGCGTATTTATTTTAAAAGACCTATAAAGGGAAAAACTCCACTAAAAATATTAGTGAACTTCTCCCCAATACCATGTTGGAAGGAAAGAGTAAAGATGTAGATGTGCTACATTGCAGATGTTGCCATTTGGACCTTGTTCTAGCACAGGTAACAGGTGGGATGGTGAAATCAGAAGGTGGGCAACTTCCAGGGCACCATTCCCACTGAGCTAGGACAATGTCTGGTCCTTACCTAGTAGGCACACAGTGTACATTTGTTAAATGACTTCATCAATTTCTTAGAGGCAGATCTAAGCATCCCATCTCCTTCCCAGCTCTTTTTCTCCTTTCCACTTCCTCTCCCTGGCCCTTCCCTCTCTCTGCTCTCTTTGAAGGGGAATGTCAGAGGAAGAGCAGGAGAGTGAGCTACAGAAACCCAGCCCTGAGCATAGAGAATTTTTAGCCACATGCACAGACTAGCAGGACTGCTTGAGCCCAGGGCTGGTCTGAGGGGTTCTAGCTGCTCCTCACTGGAGGCAAACACCACTCAGGTGTGGCAAGGACAGGCAGCACCTGTGTGCAAAGCCAGCCTGAGGTGGTCTCCTGGGGGTAGTTCTAACCCTCATAAGGGAGGAGGGTTGGGGTCTAGTGAATATTGCTGGTTTATTCCTCCACACCCTGAAGGAGAACCAAGGGGGAAAATTAGTAACTGTGGGTGGTTAAGAATGAAAAATGCCTTCAACAATAACCTACCCCTTAGAGAAGACTGGCTGTAATAACATATTTGCTCAATCAGAGTGCCCTTCCCTTCCACCTCCTTACTTTTGACTTCTCTTTCTCTCTGCGTGTGTTTGCCTCATTCTGTTTTTCTCACCTCTGCAAAGGTAACAGACATGATGCAGAAAGCCCTCTTTGATTTCCTGAAGCACAGGTTTGATGGGAGGTGAGACATATAGATATTTTTGTATTTTTTTCCTTTAATCAAACTTGTATGATGGATTGATCTGTGGGTCTATGTTTTCAGCAATTGAAGATCTGTAGTTAAAAGTCAGTAGTCAGGGAAGAATACAATGAAAGAGCTCTGAAAATCTGAAGAAATGAAGGATAGCATTGAATCCCCAAGGGAAAAAGGACTTGGAGAAGGAAAATAATCCATTCATTTTATTTAAATGTATGTGTCTGTCGTTATTTTCTCACTTGTTGGTGAATTCAGACCAAACTTGTTTTATTGAAATTATTAATTTAAAATATAGAATAATTATGATGAATATAGTGGCTCGCTGGTCAAGCTGGGTAATATCATTTGGGAATTACACATGTATTTGTATGTATGTTATATAAAGATATGAGCATAAAGTACTCAACTTGCTCAAAAAAAGAGTGCGAGAAATGTTTTCATCATAAGCCTCTCAAAGTGACTATTTTGTGGAGAATAGTACTTCTTTGGATGCTTAGCTCAGGGTTTGTTTTACTATAAATTACCTTGTTATTTTATTGATCTACTAGAGGCCCGCTGCACGGATTCGTGCACTGGCAGGGAGAGGTCCCTCAGCCCAGCCTGCGCCCTCTCACAGTCCAGGACTCCTGGGGGGATGTCTGCCTGCTGCCCTCAGGGGGATCGAGCCTAAGCTGGCAGTCAGACATCCCTCTCGCAGTCTGGGGCTCTCTCACTCCTTACCGCCAGCAGTGAGCCCAGCATCTGGTTGAGTGGCACTCCCCCTATGGGAGTGCATTGACCACCAGAGGGCAGCTCCTGCATTAAGCATCTGCCCCCTGGTGGTCAGTGCGCATCATAGCAACTAGTCATTCTGCCGTTCAGTCTATTTGCATATTAGGGTTTTATTATATAGGATTTTGTATGTATCCTGGCTCAGTCTTTAGCCATCAGATAATTTTATCATTTACGTTTCTGTATTTTGCAGAGAAATGCTAAAAAGTTCACATTGACTCGACACTAAGTGCTAAGCTCTTTCACATGCAGAATGCAATCCGTGTAAAAATAACCACCTGTAAATACCCGAAGATTTATTAAAATGAAGAAAATATAAATAGTGTGGACTAAAAAGTATGGTTAAATGAAGCCAACTTACCAAATATTTTAATAAATATGGTATTTTAGGAAAAAATAAAACATGATAATGCTTTAAGTACAAATTGTATATATTTGTCAAAGGAAGAGCTTCTGGATAATTGTATTAAAATAGTCATTCATTTCTGGGTTCTATATACAAAGAAAATAAACTGAGGTTTTAGTTCCAATAATTGAGATTTTAGTTCAAGAAATCAGAATGCTTCAGTGCAATTATGTGAATTGCTAACTACCTTAGTATAGGCCAGGGTGCCTTAATGAATAGATCCTAAAATGTATAATGATTCAAACCCAAGCTTGTTGTTGCTCATTTGACAGTCTTAGGCAGATGTTCCTCAACTGGAAGATATGGGGAAAGGGAGGATTGGGCAGAAAGTTTGTTCCACCCATCACTGGGGGCCCTCGGCCCTCGGGTGGTCTCTCCAATCATCTGGTGGGAAAAGAAGCATGCCGGCCTGGAAGTGACACACATTGATTCTTACATTTCTTTGGTTAAACTTGGTCACATGGCCACATTTAATTGCAAAGGAGGCTGGGAAATATATAGTTTAGCCATGTGCCCAGGAGGAAGAGGATATAAATATTATTGAACAAATAATAGTGTTTGCCACATTCATCTAGTGGACTTAAAGAGCTATAAGCTAATTGTGGATTTATCCTATTCCTCTCTTTTTAAAAAATATAGGAAAAGAATAAAGTAGTTAATTATATAGAAAACAAGTGAATAGCACTGAATACAAGAATATCGGAGTTGGAGAAAAATGTAACATATATTTTATTCTAATCCGTTTTCTCTAACAACCACTAACCTGCTTCTGTTTGAAGACTGTTGGCATTTGGGAATTCATTTCTTAAGAAAGCATTGCAAAGCAACAGCTGAGCTCTGACTTTAACTTAATAGTATTAGTCTGGGTCTTGCCCTCGGATGATCTGGGCCATAACCTTTCCCCTGATGCAGCCCTCTGTGGATTGGAGGCAGCTAACATGCATGGCTCAGTCTTCAGTGTTCTTGGCTGCACATGCAGACATCCTTCCGCTATGCTTGAAGTCACGTGGTTTTAAACTGTGGCACCTTTACCTGAGGAAGATCTGAGCAGTGACTCTTCTTGTGGCCCCATAACAGCCCTTGAGCTGAACAAATTCCATCTCATAACACCACCAAAGTTTGTGTTGGATTGCTTTTGTCCCCACATAACATCCTTATAAACAACGTTAAAGATTTGAAATGTGGGACCTATGCGGGGGGGGGGGGGGGAGAAAGGAATTATTCTAATTTAGCAAAGAGAAAATGAGTGAGTTAATTATTGCTTTTAAGGGTGAGGAATCTGAGGTTCTACCTCAATCCTAATTATTGCTTTTAAGGGTGAGGAATCTGAGGTTCTACCTCAATCCTCAGGCCCAGAAAGAGGAAATGCATGTAATTATACACACAGAGATCTGTTTTGAATCAGGTAGAGTTGTCCGTATCAAGCACTTACACACTATTGAAGATGGTGCTAGAAATAGAATTAAAATGTCAATGCCAAGTGTTCCATGGGGTCTGATAACACAGAGGAGGAGCGGAAGATCTGAGGGCAAATCCAACAGCAGCAAAAGTAATAGCTGGAGAAGGTGAGTCAGCCTTGAGATATCTCATCTACAGCACAGTTGGAGAGAGACATTAAAGGTGGGAGTAGGTGAGTGGACTTGCTTTCAAAGGATAAGCGGCCAGTGCTACACAAAAACCTGTACTGAATCTATTGGTTGAGTGTATGGGAGACTGATAAGGAAGAAGAGATTTGCTTATCTGACTCTGACTTGTCTGCCCTGACATGTTGAGCCATGACAACCTGCTGCATTATGTTTTACCAATTAATAAAAGGAGAGAAAACAACAAATCATCTTTAATTGAAACCATCCAAGAGAACAATCACACAGAAGGCATTCACACAGCCACACAACGTAAACAATATGTTCTACTGGAAACCTGCTCTGTTTCACTGGCTATGAATGCAGTGGGTTAGACAAACTAGTCAGGAGAAAGTCCTATTTTTCTCAGAGCAAAAAAAGGGGCTTCCTTCTTCAAAACTGTTTTTCAGATCTTGGTTAGAAAATAATCCAACAAATTGGATTAAAGTCTAATAGCTTGACCATAACAGAATCATATGCTTGCCTTTTTGGATACCTTAGAAATTATTTGAGTTTGTTTAGAGCTACTTATTATACAATTCTTTTTGCTATAACTATTATTGTAGGGTCTAACCATAATTCACGTAAGAAAAATGAAAAGCACAACATGAAAGAGTTCCTGACGGGTCCCTGTACGTGTGGATGTCCACACATAGTGACCGTTGCTGTGCACAGGTCATAAGCTAAGTGAGCTCCACAAGCTGCTACAATGGGACTGGCCTGGTGAGGATACAGTGGGTGCACTGTGGCACAGAGCTTTGCTCTCTTCTGTTCGTGCCTCAAACATGCACTGAGCATCATCCTTGGCGATGTGGTTTGTTCAGCTGGTTGAATCTACCATTCAGAGGCTGAACAGCAAGCAGTCAAACTGATGGCAATTTGTTGACCTACGCTAATCATGTCAAACCCCAATGAAGTTGTTTAAGCTTTTTGCCAACTGGACCATATCAGTTCTGTGGCGGTTATTGGAGACTTTGTAACCAACATGATCATAGCCAAAATCCTACATGGACATCAAGTAATTTATACAGATGGGATCTGAAGCGAAAGGATGTTATTAGCTAAGGAACACTTAAAGAAAGAACAACAAAAAAGGATTTGAGAAAGAATTGAAGAAAAAAAGAGGCTGAGAATACAACCTAGGGAGACTCTAGAGAGAGTATTTATTTATGAAAGGAAATGGGAAGGACTAACGCTGTCACAGAGCAGCCAAGTCATGGAAGGATTGGAATTGCAGTCAACAGATGGAAAAGAACAGCACCATGCCTTCTGTTTCATGATCAACGTTATTCCCTTACCGTTTCCTCCTGCCACTCTCCATTCAAATGCAGACTCATCGGAGGACAAACACTATAGATAATGAATCTAACGCTCTAATGCAAACATGAATACTTAAATCGGCAGGTTTTGATTACACGTCTGCCCTGATTCTCCCACCCTCAAGGTATATAGAAACATCACAGACTCCAGGGATGGAAGAGTTCATGGTAGACTGCTAACTTTTGAGGATAGGATATAAAGAAACTATCTTTTTCAAGTCTTCAAATATCCAATAATTGTCTTGTATACATTATATATGTGCTTATCAACACAGGACACTATGAATAATTATTTAAGAAAAGACTTTTTATATATTATCTTGTTTTCTCCCAATGACAATCCCATGAGATAGTATGACAAAGCTACTATCACTGTTACATTGATTTTAATACTGACGCTCAAAATCTGACATGATTCATTCACAGTCTTGTTCTATTAGTCTTTTATCTACTGACCAGCAAGAGAAAGATCCGGAAAGAATACTTAGGTCTATGTATGCCTTCCATCCCTGTTGTCTTGACAGTGCACTGTCTGTTCTTCAGAGCACTTTTCTCTATGCATACTAGGACTAAAATAAATTAATACAATACCAGGGCTGCATATTAGTTATAGGGAGGATAAAGTATAGAAGGATTTTACAGCTGTTCCATTACCAACATGGAAATACTAGTTATTTTTAAATGAGTGTCTTGCAACTGAAAGTAATGTCTTTCCATAGAAAATCACAGAAAACTAACACTGATAGATCATGATGGATGGCCACAATTGTGATGAATTCCAAAACAGAACTAAGCAACACTTGGGGTTCAGCATCGCAAAATTTAGAGAATGATTTTTGCTAGTTGTCAGTGACATTTGCTACTATACCCAGTCTGCTGAGGAACTGAAGTTCTATTAGTCTTTTATCTACTAACCAGTAACGACTGACACTATATCACAGGAAAATTTCCCAGGGAACTTTTTAGAGACGTATATCAAACAAGATGTGTGGAAGTGCTGAAAGACACTAGGGGATAAGAGTATAGCAATAAAAAATGTAGAAATGATATCAAGTAAAAAAAAGTATATAAACTAGATAACATTCAATGGTGAATGCAATGTAGTTACATTGCTGGGGAGCCTTTTACAAAAACAAAACACAGAAGTTTGAATTTGGTATCTGATCTTGAGAATAGTAAGCATCTTTGCCTAGAAATAAGAAACTCCTGCTTTGTCTTACTAAAAGGTTCCTGGGCCTGTGTCTATCATCTCCTGAGGTCTTTCATGCCTGTGTACTTTTATTAAGAAATAACTTGTATTAAAAATTAGTTGGTATTTTATTAACAAATAAAACAAGAAAAAGAACCCTTTATTATCTAAACCTTTTCCTATTTAGGGTTTATATGAAGCAGTTTTTTTTTCTATGCTTGTGTGTGTGTGTGTGTGTGTGTGTGTGTGTGTGTGTGTTGTAAAACTTTGGATGTGTTTGAAAATGGCTTTGTAAAAATGTTTATAACCCAGCAAAAACCAAAGTGTGTATCTGTTGATAATCCCTTCGATTTTTAAGAACCAAGGGTCACTATTTGGCTTGAATGGAACTAGAAAATTTTATTTTCACCTAAGCAGAATAGACTGTTTGGGCTCTCCAAAAGTAATTATTTCTAGAAAGTTGAATTCCGTCTCTAAACCAACCCACTTGTCTCCAGTCATCTATTTGAATTGCTCTGGAACTTCACTGAATGTTTCTAACCAGCAACTTCATTCTTAAAACAACAAGCAAAACAAAAAACAGAGACAGGAACTATAAACAAGCAATGTAAGTAAAAGAAGCTGTGACCAGGAGGACTGCCTGTGAGATTTCATGCCTCAGGTTGCAGCAGCCAATAAGGAATGGAGGCTCAGGTGTGGGCTTCACCTGACTTCAAGTAATAAATCCTGACCATCTGTCAGCACCTGGCCAAGACTAACTGAGCATTGCCCCTGCCCATGTGGCTCATGTCTGGAGAATGGGTTGCTGGGGAAGAAAACTGTAAAAGAATTGTTAAATTAGGTGGCTAAGTACTGGCCTGGAGCTTGGGGGGCTGTGTTTTATACCTTCTTAGCCTCTAACTAACCTCAGGGCACTTCCTCTCTGGGTCTCAGTTTTCCTTCTTGGTAAAATGAGGAAATAGTACCTGACCAGTGTTTCCCAATGTCTTGCAGCCGTTGAACAGCTTTTTACAATAAAATCATATAGAGAGCAGCAATGTAGGAAACAGAAATGCAGAGGCCTTCGTTCGCCTGTCACTGACGGGAAGCTGAGCCCCGCCCACTCCGCCTCCCTGGCGGCTCCCAGTGGCCCTGGAGGTGTTCCACAAAATGCTTAGTTTCTGCAGAAGACCATTGAGGATGCCTCCAGTAATTTCTTAGGGCATGAAAAGTCTAAAAATGAAAACATTTAAATCTTTCTGACCATCTACAACCTATAAATACAATGACACAAGCAAGGGGTACTTTGCTTTAAAATGGCACCAGAATTCTTGCACAGTCTTTTACTTTAAAAACGTGATTTCCAACCATTTGGCAAGTGGCATACTTTTAATTCTCCCCAAGGAGTCAGGTTCCTGAAGTCAGGTGAAGAGTCTCCTGAGAGTGCTGGTAGTGTTGTCCCAAGACAGGTGTGAAATGACATAGGCCTCAATAATGATCAGTAATGACACCTCTCTCCTGCTCCAACTCCCAAAGGGAGTGTGAAAATGAAGGAGATCAGATGTACTAACTGAGCATAAAGGGGAGGAGGTGCTGCTCTCCTTGTCTCCTTTCTGGAACCCTGGCAGGTTGTGAAGATAAGAATGGAGAAAGGTCCATGGTGGCAGTAACTGGCCTAGAGAGGCATTCTTTGCATTCTGCGGGTAGATAATAGTCTGAAGTTGCTCACTCCCGGTTTATTTTAAAGAATTTAAAATTGTGAGCTGCAGAGACTCTCATTTGATAATCATACGCACATAGACCCCTCTCTCCTTCACTTGCAATGGATTTGCTTTACTCTCTTGTGTGACTGCAGGACACTTTCTAACTTAAAAATGTCCTGGCACAATTCCCACCCTGCCTTCTTATGGGTGCCCAACATATGCAACTACGCTGAAGAGTCTTGTGCCTGCAGAAGAGAAATCATATTTTTCATATCCTTAGAAATCAAAACTTCTTTTGGGCCTGTGGAGAAATGCTTCATGTATCACGAATTAACTGTTGAGCACCAGGAATGCAACAGAGCTACCAACTGGTTAATTGTCTTCAATGATTTCTCCCTTTGACCGGCAGCATTGACATCTGTAGTTTTTGAAAGTCTTGTGCAAGAGCAACTCAACTGTGAATTGTGGGAAATTGTGTCGCCGCTTCCTAGAAAGAGCATGGTTTATTCATGTGTTTTGATTCCCTCCTGGTATAGTGTGCATTAAAGAGAATTCAGCAAGGCAGACAGTAATGGAGGAGGAGCTGCAATTTTGCTGCAACCATTTTGTTGTTGTTGTTATATAGCCAAAACCTTCCTGTATTCTGCTCTGCTTGTGTTTTAATACTAGCCAAAGCCTGTTTAAAATACTTGTGGCCAATGTTTTTTATGCTGTGGTTGCACTGTAGTATGTAAAGTGGTTATTAAGTACTGCGCTTATAAATCACGTGGAGAGCCCTATGACATTTTTACTGGCTTGTTTTGTTCTGTGTTCCTATTCATAGGATATCAATAACGAGAGTGACAGCTGACATTTCTCTTGCTAAGAGGTCTGTCCTAAATAATCCCAGCAAGAGAGCAATAATTGAACGTTCGAACACTCGGTCCAGCCTAGGTAAGATGTTCAAATGTGGTTCTTCTCCAACCTGTGCTTTCAGACGGGGATGACACATGTTGCGTTTGGAATGGCTTTCCCAGTTTGCTCCCCATTCAGAATGGGGAAGCGCTGATTAACTGGAGAGAATGCTACCCCTGGAAAAGAAGGGAGCAGAATCCTGCAGCAGCCAGAGCCTCCTCTCCCTCAGCTCTAGCCAATTAGCTAATTAGGAGTCTGGTGGGAAGAATCCTCACGGCCTCTCCTGGTCTGTTACTGCCTAACCATGTGAAACCACTCATCTCCACTTTGCCCGGGTTTCTCAACATGGCTAATATCTGTCACATATGACTCATAGCTGACATGAAAGGAAATGAGATGTTCAGCCTTCTCAGGTCTTTAGAAGAAAGCTAGACCATGGTGTTCTCAGTGTTGCTTCTGCTGCTAACTGGTAGTACCCAGAATAGTCACATTGTTAAGTGGAAATAGTAACTACATTAAGAACACAGAGGGAGTTTCCCAGAGCACCAGTTAGAAAACATCCTAAAATTTACCATGATGGAGAAGAAAACACACATGCTATATGTGTTTAGCTCCATCAAGACATATGTGCGCAGAGTTGTAGATTCACCATCCACAGAAGCAAATCCATGCTGCTGGGGAAATCACAACATTCATATCAAAAGGCTGTTTGTGGTTTCTATGATTCCAAGAGTGGCGTAGTAACTCCTAACTTTCTGGGAGTCTCTTTTGCATTCACATTCTGAAGGCAACTTGTTTTACTGCCCTCTTCTTCCTGGGTAGACAGGGGTCTTCTATGCCTCTACATTTTTTTTTATCTACTGAAATGAGCTCTATAGATGATTGAAAACTAAAAATAAAATTTCCGAATAGATTGCATGCCCAAACATCTCATCAAGAACTCACTGAAGGCTGTGCCAAGAATGGAGCAGGTTGGAAAGAGGCTATAAAGTATTATCTCTATATTCCTGGCATGGAATTAGCACATGGTACTTGATCAATAAATGTTTGTTTGGTGGTTGCTTTGTGAAAGAATGCTAAACTTACCAAATGAAATAGGTGTCAGAGCTTGTCAGGGCAAGATTCCAGACATCAGTGGGTTTTTTTTGTTTGTTTGTTTGTTTTTTCCTTTTTTTTTTAGTCCTGTATTTAGTACAGCCTTTCACATACAGAATGAAACACATTTAATTAGTTTTTTACTGATTTTTTTTAGAGAAAGGAAGGGAGAGAGAAATATCAGTGAGAAACATTGATCAGTTGCCTCCTGCACACATGCCCCAACTGGGGATCAAACCCACAACCTGGGTATGTGCCCAGACCAGGAATCGAACCTGTCACCTTTTGGTGTACCGGATGATACTCCAACCAACTGAGCCACACCAGCCAGGGCCAGAATGAAACACTTCAATAAGGCACAATATTTTCACCTTGAGGAAGTGATGATGGCAGAGTTGATAATGATGAACCAGATTAGGTAACTGACTAAAGTCAAGTATCATGGGTGACAAGGATGCCATATTAGATTGAAGATATCTAAAACAAGCATTGTTCTCTGTTCTTCTGTCTTTCACTCTCCTCTAACTCCTCACAGTGCTGTTGACTTCCTCTGATGTATAATTGGAGGCTAATGGATACTTAAAAGCAGAAGCTAGGTCGCCTGACTAACAATTGCATGAAACCAAGGGCTTCATGAATATGCTTTGAAGTCATTGGTAATCTAGTCACCTGTTGTCAGAATCAGTGGAGTGAGTGGGTGGAGTTACTGTAAATATTGAGGAAGAGCCCTAGCTGGTTTGGCTCAGTGAATAGAGCGTTGTCCTGTAGACTAAAGGGTCCCAGGCTTGATCCCCAGTAGGAAGCGTGCAGGAGGCAGCCGATCAATGATTCTCTCTCATCATTGATGTTTCTATCTCTCTCTCCCTCTCCCTTCTTCTCTGAAATCAATAAAAATATATTAAAAAAATATTGAGGAAGAAACAAGGTAGATGTCAGTTCACTGTTTTCCCCCTTTACTCTGTAAATTCGTATACCACAAACATGGAGTTAATTTAATGGCAATCTATTATAATAATCACTGTGTGAGCCACTTATGTCCATTTGCCTGCTGTTAATGCACATTTGCAGATTTCTTCACCAAATGTTTATTGAACACTTGTTATGTGCCATGCATTATGCCAGATCTGGGAAGAGCAAATGTGACTAAGACAATGTATCTTACACATGAGCAAACCGAAAGAGGAAACAGATGGTTAAAATACTCCTTGATAGGGGAAGTATGAGCAAAGTGGTGGGGTATTAAGAAAGAGGGGTAGAGAGTAAGAAGTGTCTGAGAAGACATCTCAGAAGTTTTATTTGAGCTGGTTCTTCAGGGCAGACAAGAATGTGCAAAGGCATCAGCATATAGAAAAACACTGTGTGTTTGAGAAACAACTCATTTTTTACAGAGCCTGCTTAGAAAATGGGAGGGGAGACATGGTTTTAGAGCAAGGGAAGAGACTGAGAAAAGTAGATTGAGGCCAGTATGTTAGGGCTCCATGTGTCTTGCTAAAGAGTTCTCCAGAATAGAACCCATGAAATGTTAATTTTAAAAGATACCAAATAGTTGTTACATCCAAAATATTTTCTATGATCAAATAAATTTGGAAATTGTGCATTAAACAATTGGCAGTTTTCTTCACTGCAAGACTTCTTAGAGCTGTTAGGATACAAAGGGCAATGCACATTTGAAATTCCAAGAGAAACTATTATAGTATGCAATATTTCTCTTACAGAAAACCTCCTTCTTCCCATAGGATATATCAGGGGATTTGTTTCCCAGGGAACTCACTTGGGGAAATGTTGCTTCGAGCCTAGGAAGCCACTGAAGTATTATAAGCATTTTGGATGTAAAAGAGATCCCAGGTGATAGAAAGACTGGAGAGAGATGGGTCCAGATCAGTCATGGCCAAGTTGTAGAAGAGTTCATTAACATCCCGCCGGCATCGTCGTCCATGACTTCTCAGAGCTCCATTTGTCTGAAATGAGGTCATGAGGAAACTTCCACTGGAACCCTTCTGAGGATCAGCCTGAGTAGTCAAGATTGTTGGGTTTGGTTAAAGTTTTTCCTTAAGAAAATTAGCTATGTTGCCCTGGCCAGTGTGGTTCAGTTGATTGAGTTGTCGTCCCATGCACCAAAAGGTAGCCAGTTCCATTACAGGTCGGGGCACATACCCAGGTTGCGGGTTAGATCCCTGATTGGGGTAGAACTGATTGATGTTTCTCTCTCACACACATCAATGTTTCTCTCTCTCTAAAAAAAATCAATAAAAACATATTAAAGAAAAAGAAAGAAAATTAGTTATGTAGATAATTTCTCTTCCTCACACATATAATTTATTTATTGCATTCTGTATACGTATTATCCAAATATTGGACCTACAGCAGTATATAGTGTGGCTCTCTGCAACCTCCTGGCTGGCTCTGCCTGACCTCTCTGCTCGTGACAGAGTGCCCATTGCCCAAGGGTTTAGTGTTATCAAGCAGGTGTGCCTGCCCTCTGCACCTGACAGAAACCACACTTTCATCATTGCTGGTGCAGAGGAAATCAGGCCACGGCATTGCTGAGGTATTTACACAGAGACTCGAAGTGCCTCGAGGGTTCCTTGTACCAGAGCAGTCTAGTTTACGTCACTGCCTTTTTGCTACTTCAGAAAATATTGTTTTCAGATTTGAAAATTAAAGCAATATAGACTTATTCTAGCATAGCCCTGGCCAGGAGTTAACATTAAACCAGTTTAATGAAAACAACAAATGAAGAATGTACCCCAACAGCCTGAGGCTAAAATTTACTACAATAAAAATAAAATTTAGTTTTTAAACTTCTCTCATAAGAAAAATCTTTTTTTAAAACTGTTTCTGATGTGAGAAAAAAGGGACAGGTATGCTATTATTAAGATAACAAATGTAGAATGTAATTTCAGAAAAATGTTGTGAATAAGCTCAATTGTCCAAATTCTTTACAACATGAAACCTTTCAAGTATTAAATAATATCAAAAACAACTGTCTAATACAGATGATGCATCAGTGATTCTGTGAAAAATAAAAAGTTTATGCTTTTAGGCAAAGCCCAAGAGAATAGGGTTACATGAGAGTTTTGAGCATTCATGACCTCACACTCCTTGTCAATCCATTAGATTGTGGGAGGGAGAACTTTTCAATGGGTGACATGAACTTGAATTTATACTAGATTAGCAAAACAAATCATGGGATTCTGGTACAAGCCCTTTTCAGAGAGGATGGTTAGAGCAACACCACCTTTTCTAGGCCACCTTTGAAGTAATTTAAATTAGCCATGTCTACACTTCGTCTACTCTGTAATTTGGACGAGATTACAACATTGTGAGGTCACACCTGTAGCTCAAAATAAAAAGTAAAAAGCAAAACAAGATCATCTCTCTGAAAATTAGTCTAAATCAGACTTGGACATGACCCAATAAGTTAGATGATTTATAAAATATATATTTAAAAGTCTTTTTTTGTATTTCAGAAAGTCACATTATGTTTTTATGGGTAACCTGTTTTGCTTTTTAAAAATATCTGGATTGCTTTAGATATTGACAAAAACTAAATTTTTTGTTTGACCAGATTCACTCATGGATTTGGATAACTTGGCTATTACAGCCACCAAATAGATTTGCATCTAGATGCATTGCAACATTTTAATATATTTGATCTTAGTTTTTTTAAAATAATAGGATAATTTTGCCTCAGAACAGTCCCCTGGCCCTAATACTTAAAGTAAGACTTAGCAATATGCTTGTTGTAAGATTAGATGCAGAACATTTAATCAGGGATACAAAAATATGCACATCAGTCAAAACAGGTGAATTGTGGGATTTTTAAAAAGGAGATCTATAAAATATTAATATATAAGTTGATCATTGGTAAAAACATTTCAGTGCAATTTGCTTTCCATGAGATGTTGCTCTGTATATGTGTCTCAGTTGTTTCCTGAATGTGGTTTCAGCTTCTATAGCTAAAATAAATTTCTTTAGGCAAAGCAACAATTAAAATTAACATAGCTATGCCCCTGGCTGGTATGGTTCAGTTGGTTGGAGTGTTGTCCCATACACCAAAAGGTAGCAGGTTAGATTCCCATCAGGACACATACCCAGGTTATGGGTTCAATCCCTAGTCAGGGTGCATATGGGAGACAACCATTCAATGTTTCTCTCTCTCTCTCTCTCTCTCTCTCTCTCTCTCTCTCTCTCTCCCCACCCCCCTCTCCTTTCCTTTCTAAAATCAATAAAAAAACATATCCTCAGTTAATGATTAAAAACAAACAAACAAACAAAAAATACTTATATAAATAGCTAACTATTAGAGTGAGTGTAAGTAAGAAGCAAATCAAGAGAGCCACCTCAAATTTTCTACCGTTTGGTTTCATGCAAAACTCAAACCATTTCTCTCTCTTTAGAAAAGATCTTAAGTTAGATCAGAATATGTAAATTCCAAATGTTCTGTTTTTCAATATAGACGAGCATCTGAAAGAGGGGTACTATATTTTTTAAATATAAGAACTAATTTTTTTAAGTAACCATGACTTGTTATTTATTATTTCTCTTTTTAGCGGAAGTACAAAGTGAAATTGAAAGAATCTTTGAGTTGGCAAGATCTTTGCAACTGGTTGTTCTTGATGCAGACACCATCAATCACCCAGCACAACTTATAAAGACGTCTTTAGCACCAATTATTGTTCATGTAAAAGTCTCATCTCCAAAGGTAATTAGCTCATCTCCAGCTTAAGGTTTAGCAGCTCTTTTGTTTTTTCCTCTGTGCTTTTTTGTTCATGTGCAAGGAGAATGTCTTATGTAAACCCTTTTTAATGAGCACAGTTTTAATTCCCACAGTTTGTAAAGGTTCTAGAAGTTCTGAGATAGCAAGTAAAAAATAGTCCATTTTTCCCAAAAGCCCACAGTCTATTGTGGCAGTTAAGCAGGAATATAAGAGAAACAAAAACTAAGAAAGGTGAGGAAAAGTTAACTGGCTTTTCAGAGACTTTGGGTTCTATTTTGGTAAATTTCTTGGGTAATATTGATTCTTGTATCACCTATATTTTCTCCCCAGTTGAGAGAGTACATAGTTCCGGAAAGGTATCTAGATTTATCATATATAAAGTCAAACATCACCATATAAAATGTCTTATGGAAACATTGCAGACCCTTACATTTGTGGTTAGGTTGGATTCTTCAAGGAATATAATTATTCTGTGATTACGCACATGGGATATTTGCCATGTATCTTCAGGCCACCAGGGGAGAGAAAAATGAAAGTGAGACAGCCTCAAATTGGTCACTTTTGATTTGGGTGTTCTTTCATTTTTCAAAACTGTTGATAATGTAAAAAGTGATTATAAAATATGTACCCTTGGGAGGTACTACCTTAATAACCAGGTTTTTTTCAGTGCCTCCAAGAGTTCATTTTAATTCCAATTCAACTTCCAACCAGAGCAGTAGTCTCCTCTCATGGGTGGAGAAGGCCTCCAGGAGCTGGGCTTTCCCCCAGCCCTTCGGATGTCCTCGGCCTTCCATCTCTGGCGCTGGTTCTGCGCGGGATGAGCTTGTCCAAACCAAGCCAGGCCCTTTGGGGAAGCATTAGGATGGATTGAAATTTGAAGCACCCTTCACTGCAGTGCAATAGATTTCAACCCCTTTCACCTCCTGTCCCGGTCACCCCCAGTCACCATGGGTTCACAAGTGCAGCAACTGGGGTTCTGGTAGCCATATGTGCTGAAGTATCATAGTACACTAGTACTATTTTTGGGAGAGGGTCCTATTTCAGCTAAGAAAAAGTTAAGGGAGAGTAGACTATATGGCAAAATGCAGTTATAGCAGTGCTCAAAAGACAGATATATCACTGTGGCCATATACCAGTACAAATGTTTTGCTTAGCTTTCTATCAAGAAATCGTCTTATCAATGTAAAATTAAACTGGGATGCCTCAATAATTGCTATTGACAAAAGGACCCAATATATATAAATGACTCTGATATTTATCTGACATTGAGATAGTGAACCAAAATATGACAACTGATTTTGGACAATAAATGACCCGGTACAGATCAGTTCCTCCACTTTTGGAGGACTCTCTTTGAAATCTCTGGGTAAAATCCAGGGTGGGAACTCAAGATCCCACCCAGACCTCACATGGAACAAAAATAGGATAAACATATCAAATCCATTATAAGTGAAAGTCAGTGTAAGTGGATGATGTCATCACAGAGTTGATATATGTGATTTGTCACTTTGTGTTTTCTCTCTATTCATACTCAGTGCTAAACAGACTATTAAAGGGGGCCTTGGTTTATTTGATTTTCTTTCAACTCATTGACGGTATCTCAGATCTGTGTCTTCTTCCATCAGGTTTTACAGAGGTTGATTAAATCTAGAGGAAAGTCCCAAAGTAAACACTTAAATGTGCAACTGGTGGCAGCTGATAAACTTGCACAGTGCCCTCCAGTAAGTAAAATCATTTTTGGTCTTAATCATTCTTGATTAGTTAAGAAAGGGTAGTGTTTCTTTCTATATTAGCACTAGAGGACCGGTGCATGAAATTTGTGCATGGTGGGGGGGTCCCTCAGCTCAGCCTGGCCTGCACCCTCTCCAATCCAGGACCCCTCAGGGGATGTCCGACTGCCTCTTGCAATCCAGGACCGCTGGCTACTAACTGCTTGACTGCCTGATCGCCCCTAACCCCTCTGCCTGCCTGACTGATTGCCCCTAACCACCTCTGCCTGCCTGCCTGATCACCCCTAACTTCTCCCCTACCAGCCTGATCGCCCCTAACTGCTCCCCTGCTGGCCTGATCGCCCCTAACCGCCTCTGCTTCGCCCCTCACCCGGAACCCAGGATTTCCTCCTCCGTCCAGTCACAGGCACCCGGGACCCGGGCTTCCCTTCCTCTGTCTGGCTGCAGGCACCCAGGACCAGGGCTGGCTTTGCCCAGGCAGGCCGCAGCTGCAGGCACCTGGGACCATGGGGCGGGCAGCTTGTCCCTCTCCCAGGCTGCAGCCTCAGGCGCTGGTGCCTGGGACCGTGGGGCAGGCAGCTTGCCCCTCTCCTAGGCCGCAGACACAGCTGCTGGCACCTGGGGCCACTGGCACCTGGGACTGCAGGGCAGGCAGCTTGTCCATCTGCCGGGCCGCAGCCTGGCTGGTCCCCATTCCTCTCTCCTAGTGTTGAGTCTCTGAGCCATTATGGCGTGACAACCATTTGCATATTAGCTCTTTATTATATAGGATTGTCGTTTTTATTCTAGATTGATGGTGAGGGTGGTATGTTATCATAAACCTGAGGAATTTCTTGGAACAAACTAATGCTGCCGTGTTGGCTACACTCAGGCATCCAGAACTCGGTGGTGTCTGCCATGTAATAAAAAGCGAACTTAGTGTCCCATGTCTAATGTCCTTAACTGCTACCTTGATTACCTGGCCAATTCAGCAAACTACTGAGTCAATGTGTATGGTTTTATGAAAAGAAAACCTACTGATTTGACTTTCCATTTCTTTTCTGCCTGAAAGTTCCGATAGGCATAAAAGATTATGGCATCAATGGTTGAGAATTTATTGGAACTAGAAGAGCCCTGTGGCTAGAGCAGATGAAGAGGTCAGGGTTAAGTAAGGTGAAAAGCCATATTATGGCAGCGTTTCTCCTAGTGCCGTTGCCAGGAAACAGCTGCTGAGTTGGAAGCCAAGCAAATGGTGGGAGGGGGTGGGGGGAGCTAACAGCTATCATGTGGGTCACCAGTGGTTGGTCAGTGTCTACACCTGCCCAGCTGACTTACTATTTCTGTGCCTGTGTTTCTCTAAAGGAAATAACTTTTTTCTACTGATTTGATTCACTAGATTTATACTCGTGTAAGGATTGTTTATGCTCTGAAGAAGCTTAAAATTCAATTCAGATGTTTACAGAGCACAGACTATGGCCTGGCCAACATGGCTCAGTTGGTTGTCCCATGCACTGAACAGTTGCCAGTTTGATTCCCAGTTGAGGCACATACCTGAGTTGCAAGTCCAATCCCCGAAGCCAATTGATGTCTCTCTCTCTCTCTGTCTCTGTCTCTCTCTCCCCCTTCCTCTCTGTCCTCTCTGTCCATGGGTGAAGATTAAAAATAAAAAGTACAGACTCTAGAGCCAGATTGCCTGAGTTCAAGTCCACTGTAATCCACACTAGGATTACATCCCTAATTATGTAATCTTCGGCATGTACCTACCTCATTGGGTTTGTGTAAAGACTCAATGAGTGAGTATGTGGTGAAGCTCTTAGAACGTGCCTGGCACATGATAAGCACCATCTAAGTGTTTCTGTTATAATTACTGGATGTACATGTGCTGGGCCATGCCTAACCTGTCAAGCTCTGTAAGGATCTGTGCCGATCTGGTTTACTATTGTATCTCAAGCTCCTACATAGTAGGCCCACAATAAATATTTAGTAATATTTATACAATAAGAGTTTTAGTGAAATTTATGCCATAAGAATAATAGAATGTCTCTAATCCTTATAGTTACCTAGTAAGATAAGCATTATTATCCCCATTATATAGGTGAGATAACTGAAGACAGAGAGGTGAAATGGTTCTCTAAGGTCACACAACAAATTAGGATTAGATTTATGATTTATCTGGTTCCAAAACCAATTTCCTCCCCTCACAACCCCACCCAACTATACACACACACATACACACACACGTGCGCGCACACATGCAACATGCACCTGGTTACCTGCCTGCAGATAATTTGGATAACTTGGAGTCTGGAGTGCTATGTTAAGAAGTCTAACTTCACATTGTCTACTGATGAAGCCCATGTACATAGTGGAATATATGATTAAAGCACTGAGCAAATATAGAAGAATGTATTACCCAGTTGAAGGATGCTGACCTTTACTGATCAGCAACCAAAAGCCAGGAACTATGCTATTGTTTCCAACTTTTAGAACAATCTTATAAGGGTAATTTTATCAGTTGGGGTCTTCTGGGAAGCAGAGACCTAAATGGAATTAGAGCCGCAGATTGATTGAGAAAATGCCTATGTGAGATTAAAGGGAACCAAGAAGGAGAGCCTTCAGACCTGCTGCAGGTCTGGCCCTGGGAAGGGAGAGGGGGAAGAGGAGAATGGGTAGGAGGAGCCTCAGACTGTGATGCAGCCTTGAGACATCTCAGTCACCTAGATGTGGATCCCCAGAGAAAAGGTTGCCCATTAGAGTGTTACAGAAGAACCAGAGAAGAACCAAGCAACGCGCAGTGGTTCTCAACCTTCCTAATGCCGCGACCCTTTAATACAGTTCCTCATGTTGTGGTGACCCCCAACCATAAAATTATTTTCATTGCTACTTCATAACTGTAATTTTGCTACTGTTATGAATCGTAATGTAAATATCTGATATGCAGGATGTATTTTCAGGGGTAGAGACCCACAGGTTGAGAACCGCTGGTAGAGAGATAGAGTTACATTTATTATTATGCACGGGCCCAGAGGAAAATGTCTCTCAAAGTCTGAGCGAAATCACACAGGAAGTTTCCCGTATTTATACCATTCCACCTTCTTTGTCTCCCAAATATGGGGTTTTTCCAGTTCCCTTTGCAAGTTCTTAAAGGGCCCTATGTGCTGGGGCTTTGAGACCTCGACCAAAGGCTTGGCCTGACGCCAGCACTGATAACTTCGTCTGGAGAAGGTTTAATGGCCTCTCTGAAATGGGAGTAGTCTTATTTTCCTTATTATTTAAGCCAGCAAGCATTTACAGAAGCCAGAAATAGCAGGGTTAAAATTTCAAACAGCAGTTTTTATATAAGATGGGTGCTTCAAGAGGAGTCTCATGTTGGGAGAAATATCCCGGCTCTAGTCCCCCTGATGCTCTCCGGCTTTGACAGGCAGCAGCCTGGGGAGCAGGGCCTCAGCTTGAACGCTGTCGTGGATGCTGAAGATGCAGCAACCCAAGTGTGTCTGCTGCCTACACTCATCATGGCAGGTTCCAACTCTAGGGGAAATCTGAGCATGCGCCTCTATGACTGCCCTAGCGAATAACATTATCCTCACTTTCTAGAAGAGAAAGCTCAGTCCCTGGGTAAGAAACTTGTTGGAGGTAGGAATTTGTAAATGAGCCCCAAGATCCAACCCTAGATCTGTCTGACTCTAACTTCCGTGCACCATGCCACTCTACCTTTACACGTAGCTGTGTGATGTAGCTGAATCTTCTGATCCCCAACATGGACATGCAAGAAATAGTCCATGTTCTATTTTGACCCCATCCCACTGGGCAGGCAGGATATTTACCTATGCTTGAAGCCACCCTAATCCAGAGCAGAACAAAGACCCCAAGTCATAAGCGGGGGTTGGTGAGGAAGTTGAAGGGAGTGAGGGGGGAGCGTTCCAAACCTGAAAACCATTCACCGGGTGCATGTGATCCCCAGGGAAGGATGCTCTGCTGCATCAGCCCTCATGTGGAACAGGGGGCCTTTGGCAAGGCAGGGAGACACACAGCCCCTCCTCTCTGGGCGTTGGCAAGGGAGCTCCCTTTTTCTCTCTCTCTGAGGGAGGGGACTTGTCTTCCTCTCTTCCCCTCTTGTTGCTATTAAAGGAACTTCCTCTCTGCTTTGGTTGTACTAAAAGCAGCCCCACTTTCTTTTGTTTCCAGAGGTAGTTAGCAAAATCTCTCCAACCCATTTACGCTTTTGGGAAACAAAACTCAGCGGGGGTGGGAGAGGGAGATGGAGAGCTGGCAATTTCCTGCCACGACCCCCATCTTTCCCACCCCCACCTCACGCCAGACAAGGGAGAACAGACCGGCCACCTGCTTGAATGGTAGACAAGAACAGGAGAAAATACAAAAGGAAAATCACAGATTAGTATCTCAAAACTTGTTTGCCATGTCTACCTTCACAAATGTAGAAAGCTCCACGCTGTGAGGGAGGCTGGTTCTGTGAGGCCCAGAGGGTGGTGCTGAGATCAGTGGGAGTTTCCAGGAGCAGGTCTGAGTGGACTTGAGAGCATGAGGCCCATCTAATTTCACTTGGCAGTGGTCACTTTGACCCACTAAGAGGAAGGCATTTCACAAGTCCGCCCAAATGCAAATACTGAAAACAATAGGCTGGCTTTCTAAGTAGTGAGCTCCTTGTCTCAGGGGTGAGGGTGGAGTAGGCTGTGTGAACAGATGTCAGAAACATTGTGAAAGGAATCTCCTCTGGTGAAGGCTATGGGTATGGTAGGCTAAGATATAGATACTGTATCTAAGATTCCTGCTTGACTCTCCAAGACTCTGATTCTATCTAGATTTTGAAATTGACCAGCATAGAGATATTATTGAACCCATATGGGCTGAGGAGCCCAGGGAAGAGGAGAGTATAAGATCCATCAAGTCAGATGATATCTTCATTGGTTCGGAGCATCATTCAGATCAGAAATTTCTCCAGTCACGTGTTATTGGCGGGAAGGTCTCCATGTCCCAACCTGTTGCTGGTGGCA